ACAGTATACATAAAATATTTATAAATATAATTATACTTTTCATACCCCCTTAGTTTCTTCTTGCATGAGAAATGTCTCTCGATTTAAAACATCATTCGTCTCTCGATAAAGAAACCATTAAATAGAAAATAAACTTTCCGAATCTCGAATTTGAAATTCGTGCGCCCCCTTGTTTCTCCTAACCTCACAAATTCGTGCGAACGTAATTTCTTACGTACCAGTCGACCGCACGTTACCACACTGATTTCAACACGTTTTGTACGATTCCATTCAATAACGAATCATCAACGACCAACTATGATTTCTAATTACTCGATCAATTCCTCAAACGTACCTGTAATATTCCTGTACCTGCTTTAAAAATATATCCGACTGATCTCTCGAATATTCCCATTCACGTTCGCTTTTCACATGCAGCCTTCCAAACATCGACGTTGCTTGAACTTCATCCTCGGTCCATCCAATATCGCTAATTACCTTACCGTAGAATGACACGACTATCGCATCCCAATTACATTACCGTAGAAAACTTTCTATTGAAGCAACTCATCCCCACTCTTCGTTCATTCGAAGAACTCTTGCCATATAAACGCAACGGACTCTAAATAATCCGTATAAAGAGCGGAAAATCCAACGGCGAGTCTCGAAATTTCTATTCGGCTGTACCTACGGTCAATTCATGTAGTATTTAATGAAATTACCCGACAAAATTAATTCGCGACGAGGATTGGATTACTTCGGCCGAGGGAACGCTAGATGGCGCCACTCGTATCGGGAGGTCCATTAATTACCACGATTCCTAATTAATTACCGTCCTTACGCGATCCGCGTCGGTATCTCGAGCGTGGAGCCTGAATACACGGACGGGTCGGCCCGGTCACCATTTTACCATTTCAAAAACGTTGGTTCGCGAGAAAACGTTTATTAATATTCGTCTGTGTATAAAAGGGAAGCATTTTTGAAATGAGATTCCACCGCATGGCGCATCGCTTTCTCTCTTTCCGTTTACGCCCTTGCTCGTGTTTTCGTATTACGTAATAAAGAATGAGCTGGAAGTAAAAGGGAAAAATGTCGGGTTTTTCCGATCGAAGAGGGACAAGAAGAGCGACGACGTGTCTACGGGGGTGCCTCCAGCTACTGAAACGAGATGGAACTTCTTTTTTTTTATTGGAGGTCACGATAAATTGACGGAGGAAAATATTGGTAACGTTGTTGCTTTTCTTTTTGAAAACAGTGAATATGCATATTATTATACGCCTCCGTATTATCCTTATTATTATTTATTATATATATTATCCAATTTTTATTAATTCTATTTATTCTTATTGTATTACATATATCCCCCGAATAATTAAAACAAGACATTTTCATATATACATAACCTTATCTGAAAAATCTTTTTTATATGTAAAAAGCATAAATTAGTATTTCTATATAATAAACACCCAGAAATAAAAAATTAATAAATTTAAACTATACTGAGAAGAAAAGTTAGTAAATTAATAAAAATAAAAATATATTTTGTTAGAAATCTTAATAAATTTTATAGACAAAGATTTTTGAGGTTATTTAATTCCGTGATTAATATAATTGGATTATATATATCTTAAATAAATGATGGAAGAGTAAATATATTCAGTAACATGAAATATTTTAGGATATGAAAATATTGGATTATGACAAATCGATATTCCAATATTTCATTATATTTCAGTTTGTCCCTTAACGTTTGCTGTCACATTTCTAAACGATTAGCTTTAACTCCACGTTTCGTATCATCTATTGAAACCAAAGGCAGCAAATACGTGACGATCATACTCCCGGTCATCGGCGCTACGTGATCTAGTAAATACAATTTCAACAGGAAGATCGAGCGTTTGCATACAAAGATGAAAGGTAAAATATCTGGCACAGTATTGTATCATATTTAACATAAACAAAATCTTGTTTCCCAATAATAAAATTTATTTAATTTTTACATATAAAATACGTACAATGTATATAATAAATTTCATGAAAGAATATTCTGTCATAAATCTATATTTTTCTCAACAAATTTTTCGTAGCCCAAAAAGGAAGAAAATAGAAAAAAGAAGTGGAGATGAAAAAGGAGAAAAGTAGAAAAAGGACCTCAGCTCGTCCCACTTTCTAGAAACGCTCCGTACAGACCAGTAATTCGCGAAGGAACAAGTAGAGGAAGGCAACGTTTTCAATGTAACTCTTTTTCTCCCCTACAAAGTTAATGGGCGGAGCGGTTCCATGCAAGCAAGGCCTGCTCGCGAAATTCCCCGATAAATACGCAGGAAACGAGCCCGCATAACGATTGAAATCGATAACATCCGACGCGATAATATCGTCGGTATCCCGTGGCAGCGTTTATTCAAACGCGGCCGTGCTTTCGCCGCACGGCTGATTTCGAAACAAAGCCGAAACGGGCACCCGATAGTGTCATCGATTTATCATTGCTTTGATGGATTATGGAATCTACTACCTCGTGATAGCCATCGCTTTCACCGACATTCGTTTTGTTTTACGTTCGAAATGCGTACGAGAATAGAATTTTCAAGATGCCAGGAAAATGCTGTTTAATGGAAACTGACAAATTGCTCTGATCAAAGGAGAAAAAGAAAAATTGAAGAGTCAATAATGAGGTTATGTAATAGAATTTTTTTTGACGGAATTCACTTTTTATACATTATAATATTAAATTATGATAAAATTGTTTAATTGAGTAGGAATAGTGAAGTTATTCTCATTATTTTTGTTTATCGTTAATATAAATTAATATGAGGATATTTGTTGGAGTTTGGTTAAATGATATATGTTAGGTTTATTTAGAAAGACAAACAAAATAATTTGATGCTTATGCCATGTATTTTAAATAAACATAGAGTGAATATAAAGAATGTATTACGTTATGTTAGGTTATAATATTTATGACAGTAAAGACAGAGTGAAAATTCAAGTATTTTTATGAACAACTGCATATAAGTTTACTTACAAATTTGAGTTTAAAATACTTTGTGTGATCAAAGTGCTTTGATCTTTGTACCTTGTAACTTCTGATGTATCATTAGTACCAAAATCACCTGCCTGTAACATGTAGCTAAATATACTAGACGTAGAAGATAGTAATCAAAGTGTTAGGATGAAAATACATGGGTGTATATAATTACGTGTATACCTAAATGGAAGTCGATGTTCATTTCGCCAAAAATAGACTATCTAAAATTCATCACATTGACTGATCTGGTAGGTTTAGTGTTTGCATGGCTTCTTTTTAACAGTTTCATTAAACATAATGAAAACATAACCTGAAACGTAAAATAACGAGTAATAGATCGACTACCTTCAGAATTTTTCCACATTCAATATTTGCGAAATTCTCAGTGTCTCTACTATACTATTCGAAACTATTTTCATCAAATCACAAAATAAAACTTTAGCAACTTTCGATCCATATTTCCAAGGATTTAAACAGTAAAGTTTTATACAGTTTTAATACGAATTGGAAGTTGTGAGTGACGTAATAAATAGACGGCGCGAAACGTTCATATATGTAACTATACTAATATCGTATTGTTGTTATCGACGTTCGGTAAAAGCGTTTCCGTGTTTTCGGTCTGTAATATTCAAGGCGAAATATACACGAATATACGATGGTGATCGATGAAAATTGTGTTCCAGGTCGAACGGATAAATTCCATTTAAAGCAAAGTTTTAGTTAAGTGAACTTAGTGAAACGAACCTATTACTCGATGACCATTCGTTTTACCAATATTAAACGAAATTATGTATTTAAACGTCGATACTTAAGGGTTGCTAAGTTCTACATTTCCCATAAAACTGTTACGCGAACTTCTTCAAACTTTAATTACCTGTTAATACCATCGATTAATTACATTTGCAAGATCTCTTACGCCAAGTCATTTAACCGTGCTTTATTTATCGTTTCGTCTATATCGTACTATAGTATCTATACTCCACAGTTGTCTCGTTCAGTATATACAAGTGGAATATTATCGGTTCGAATCTCTGAACGTCGAATCGTTTCTCTACCGATGAAACGGTTGCTGAATGCGTTTCTGACGGAAGTACGCAGTATTGGAGATTCTACGGTTATTATACTTAATAAGAAGGAAACAGATACGCGTCGAGTATTAAGTTAAAACATGGAAGTATCAGATGAAATGGGTTCTAGAGAAATCTCGTGGAATGTTGCGACGGGTATGAGCCATAGGCGTAATTAAGATGTCCGCGACGTTCTGAAAATATGTACCATGAAAGGCTAAATTTTTTATCTGGAAAGTATCTATCATTTTAATACTTGGTCATTTTTTTTATTCTCTCTAGCAGAGAATTTTTCTTATTCCAATTATTGGTCTGTATCACGTAAACACCAATTTATCGGAAACTTATTTTCCTGTTATTTATTTTCGTTTATAACGAAACGATAAAACAAGGTGGTCCTGTATGTATATACAGGTTTGTAGCGTTTTACGAGCTACGCGAGGATATAACGGAGCCAATCTTTATGAAATTGTATTCCTTTTGTTTCGAAGATGTAAATTGGTTTTTTGCTCCTGTTCGTTACTCGCAATTTCCTTTGCGTGCGTTTAATACAATCAACGTTATATTATCGAAACGGAGAAACGTAATTTAACTCGAGCAAAATTAAAATTTAATTTCCTAACTACTTTCTATTTGATTTTTAAAACACCGTGAATATGGGAATATTTGAATTACGTTTTCTTATAAAATTCCGCATATTTTCAGATTCACGTTGTGGTAAAAATAAAAGTGGAGATTCACGCCTGAAAACTTTTTTTTACCTGATTAAACTAACCTAATCCTTCGGCCACTGAGTTTAGTGTAATGGCGGTAGTTTTAACCCCATACAACCAATGCAATAAGCCGTGTAAAAGCAATCAGTCCAGTGTTAAAATATTTTATTTTCCTCTCATGTAGCATATAAATATACGTTATTAAGGAATGTGCAATTATGAAGTTTCTCCTAAAAAAAATATTTTAATCGGGTAATTAATATTCAGTGCTATTAAACTTTTATTCGTGTTAACCAGGGGAAAGTACACGCTCTGTGTGTAGAGAAACATACCATGGCAGTATTCTTCCATTAGCCTGGTCATGGCGAAAGGATGATTTCCAAAGAAACAAAACAACCTAGAATAAAAAACGCAATATTATAAATGGCATCTTTAAAGAGATATAAACTGAGTTTCCTATTTGTATGTAACATAACCTTACCCGAACTCGCAACTAAACCTAAACACAAACTCGAATACAAATCCAAACATAAAACCTAAACCCAAATCTAACCCATACCCCGTTCAACGAGAACTGGCAAGAAACATAAACAGCGATCAGGACAGGGCCGTAACGTAATATAGTTCCCTACGCAATAGGGATGCGTATACGTATAACCTAGTCCAATCCAAACTAAACCCAAATATACATTTATATTTGAACTCGGACCTAAGAAAATTAAGTTTCTATTTCCAATATGCCTTCACCGTCAAAATGATAAATACCTTCTCGAGGCGCTGTAATCAGCGATGATTACCGACACAGGAAATTCTTGTTGGGATAGCACTGCGATCAGCTCAATGGCAGAATCATGTCCTCGTGTTCGGCACGCGGACCTGTGACCGCCTGGAGTGTAATTAAACGCGGCGCCGGCAAATTGCATTCGTTGTGCGCTGTGACGTTGAAGGCCTTTGGCCCGTTTGTATTCGACAACGTGCCCTATCTCCGGTCTGCGTGCGCCAGACCTGTTCGCAAGCCGCGAGAGATCAATGTCGAGGACAATACATGAGTGGGAGAAAGAAAAAGAATGAGAGTTTAAGAGAAATGGGTGGATGAGAAGGCAAGAAAACAAAGAGGGAGAAACGTTATAGGTGGAGGACGGAAAACAGATGGAGAAAATAAATGTTGAGAAAGTGGATAAACAAATAAAATATTTAAAAGAGGAAATGAACTGCCATGGTGGATAGAAAAAGAAACAGGAATAGGTAAGAGAGGAATAGAGAGCTGAATTGAAAGGTATTTATGAGAAATAAGGAATCTAGTAGGGAAAAAGAAAAAAGAAGGAAGAAGTTGAAATATAAACGGAGAGGAAATGGATAAAATAAAGAGAAGCTAGAAGAGAGTGTGGTTAATGGTAGTTAAGAGTAAATGAGGGATTAAAAAGGGAGAAAGAAGGAGGGAGGGGGGATCGTGGTCGATATGAAAAGGAGGATGAGAACAGGATTTATTAATGCATGAAAAGGATGGCGAGATAAAAACGGGAACGCAAGAAGTGCCTGGAGTAAATGAGAAGTTAGAAAAATTAAGAACAAAAAAGTATAAAAGAAAATGAAGTTCAAACATGGAATGGACGAAAAAGGTACAGAACATAACCTTTAAAATAATCATTATTCTATGAAGTATAACAATTTTCAAACAGTCTCTGTAATATCACACAATTACTCTATACTATAATCACAAATATAATATAACAATGAACACTTTCATATATAGTTTAAAATATCCCCAAACTTCTAAGACAGCATTAGAGGGAAAAAAAGGAGAAAAGAAACCACACAGAAAAATATTGCACAAAGGAAAAGCAAGGTAAAGCGAACGATGAAACAAACAAGAGGGCAGGAAAGTGCCCACATAAACGGAAGTACGTATAAAAGTATAAAAGGGGTGAAAAGTCTGGGCGAATCAGCAGGACAGAATGAAAGTAAAACAGTACGACACAAATAAGAATGGAAACGATCGTAAAGGAAAGCGTCCAAACGGGAGGGGTGGTGAAAGAAAGAAAGGGAAAGTCAAGGAGTGCGAGCAAATGAAAAACGGCGAGGGTACGCCGAGGAAAGGGGCACGAAGGTATGAAAATAAAGAGACAAACAGAGAAAAGGACAAACAGGCTCATATGAAAGCCGCCGCGAGCGTAACACATAAACAAACAACACGTCTATCTTCATACCTCGAATATGCATAAACGCACAAAGAAGCTTGTATGCAAAAGTTTATTTAGAGTTCCGGCCAGCGCTGCTGTGATCCTCTACTATTTGCACGATCGAAGAACGAAATCGTATTCCGCTTGTACTCTCCGTACAATTTCAACGTTTCAACGTCTTTGTGTATCATAACAAAGTAAATAGTTATAATTTATTAGCACCGTAATCGTGTTTTATATTCTATTTATTCGGCAAGCAGAGGAGAATGAATCTAAGTCTGTACATTCTTTGCCTGATGGGATGACCAGGAAGTATTCTGCAACCTGCATAAATTATATTTTTTATATAATTAACAATATTAGGAAATCATAGTTTTGAAATATTTACCTTCATTCAATGTACTCTTCCTTTACTTTGAGATGCAGCTTATTTTTATTAGAATAATATACCTGTATTGTTGATGCAGTCATGAAATTGTATAAGGTTGCTTAATATTATTTTAATTCTCTCATTATTTCTTAAGAAATATTTAATCCAGTAATTACCATAAAATATATTATTCATTTCAAAATGGTTAATGCTTTGGTTAGGTTCCTACTACAATACTTTCAGAAATGTTATTAATTTTCTAGGATCTCATTTCATATTTTCTGCCACTGTCTTTCCATAAAGCTGATTCCTCTTTTTGTATTTATTTTCTTTTAAATGATCCTATGTTATTTTAGACCTCTGTCTGTTTTCGAAAATATGTGAACCTGAAAAGGCCATAAGTAAACATTGTGGAAAGAAAATATTTAAACATTTAGTTTTATATAGTAGAATATAAAAACATTCCTTAAAAATATATATAAAATATCGATACTCTTTGTAAGACTTTTGCACAGGACCGTAACTCGAGCGCCTTTGAACATTTCCCGAACGTTCCCTGGCATTCACATTTACGTAATAATATCGAAATGGAACGGAAGAAAGCGGGCGTGATAATTGGAACATTTATGCGAGAATACACTTTTGCTATCGGTAACAATGGAAAAGGACGAATGCGAATTTCACGTCGCGAAAAGAATTTCATTTTCGTGATCTTAAAGCGCAAATAAAAAAGAAAAAAATGGTAGCTCGTTAACGTGACTCGTTAACCGTAAAGCGATTGCTACTCTTCGTTTAATAGCTCGATGCGCTATTTTAAAGATTCGCTGAAGTCACCAGGGACGAGGCAGTGAATGAGAAACGGAACATGCATAATCGAGATTTCTTTCGCGATAGCGAAAAAATATAGAACGTACATAGAGCAAAGAAAAGAAAACAAACTTGAAACTTGGATTCCTAAATTTATATTTTCACAATCACCAACTATAATGTAAATATAACGATTAAGATAATGCACTGATTTTTTGAAGGGTACGAAATTCGTTGGATGTTTCGTTAACCGTCCCGTATTAAAACGTTGTCGAATGTAAACTAACCTCGAACTAAAATTCTTACGATCCACGGCCCTTGTAAGGTTTCCTTTATTTATGTTTCTGGTAGAGGGGGATGACACGTTGTCGTCTGTCGACTGTGATGCCGATGCGTATTCGGTATTGCGATGTTGCCAAAGTTGATTCATCTAGAAATTATCTAGATATCTAGATTTATAATTGAAAGAAAGACGTAAAACCCTTTGCATCTTTAAAAACCATACTTTTACTCCAATTAAGTAAAAGAGAAAAAAAATATCAAGAACAAGCAACAAGTAAGATACGAAACGATCGACCAAACGCTCGTTTAAACATAACACGTTAAGGTGCCATGGTAATTCATTGGTTACGTTGCGAAGAACCATCTGTAGGAGTCTGTGAGAAGCATCGCGGCTCGTGAGCAAATACGACGCAGTAGAAAAACCAAAACGCTGAGACCCTACGGGAAAAAGAAATTTTCTGGAACGTCTGGCTCGCGGAAACGTTTGTTTTTATCGTCCAACGGCCAATCGCGTATCGACCTCGTGGTGGCCGACAATAAAATGCTTAAGTGCGGGGAAACGCGTCGAATAAGTCCTAGGGACTTGCTTCTATCCAGACGAAATAAAACGAGGAGCGAGAGGGAGAATATTTACGCGCGTGTATACATAAAGATTCCCTTCCGAATGCACTGGCGGAGTTTCATTTCTCCTCACTTCCGTCTGTAACTCGCAAGTCCTATTTTCCTCCTTCTTTCTCCCTCGAGGAATATGATTACTACGATTATTGATTACGTCCTCTCTCACTGTATTGTATCGTTTGTGTATTTGTGAAGAATTAATATACTATACGAAAGGTGAAATTGTAGGGAGTGATGGGAGTTGTCAATGGGACAGTGATACGTGGAATCGAGTTATTTATATTGAAAAATATTGATTGAAGAGAATGATGGAATCAGATCAAAGGTTTAATGATTGACAGGTGAATTTATTGCATGATATATTGGATCCCTGGTTTAATTTATTGCATCGACTTACTGTCATTTGTAAAGTGTCCTATAACACGTTTTACAGCCAGATCGAACAACCAGTTTGCATTTTATCTTAGAAATATTTTAGAGACATTTGGAAATAATGTATAATATAACTTCAGGTATGGTAATAAATATATATGAAAATATCCAAAATAAGACTAAAAATAATGATGTCAGAAATTTCTGAAACATTTTACATATTTAATTTCAAAATTCCGTTAAATATTCTTTTTAAATATTCTTTCAGATGTAATATACGAGTGTTTACACGTGTATACGAAGATTCCTTTCCAGATGTACCGACGAAATTTCATTTCGTTTCACTTCCGCTAGCTCTCCAGCATTTCGGGAAGGGACGACCAAAGAGCTCGAACTTCTGCGAGAAATCTCGACATCTCTTGTGTGCACCGCGCCCCGCGCTTTCAAATATCGAGCGACTTTCACTTCTCGTTGCGTAATCGCGTCACGAGAATTCTACGATAATTAAGACGGCGCGCGCCAAACGCGTTATGATATCATTTGCACAGGACGGCGTTCATTCTTCAAAGGTGCCCGAGACATTTAATTAAATGTACAGTCCTATTGATCATGGTTGAACATGGGTTTCGTTAATTTTATTGAATCTAATTAGATTAATTTATTTACTGATTTATTTTCCTATTATATTTTAAATATTAAATTCTATATTCTGTTAAAATAGTGTTTTACAATTTTTTAATATTGTTTATAAATTGAAAATTTATATCATTTGTGTAGAAGAAATTTATATTTGTGGGGTAAAGTACAGAAATTGCATAATCAAATTTTTTATTTTGAAATACGAGTAGGTGCGATTTTCTTTTTCTTTTTTTCCCAAGCTAGGATTCCACTAAGAAGTAATGGAAATAGGTTTACGTAAAGAAGTTTAGAAACGAGATGGAGAAAATTTCAAAATTAGGTTCACATGTAAAAAATTGGAGGGTTTAGGATTAGTGATATTTAGTGTATACTGTTCACAATTTTTTTTATTGTTGACTGCATGCTGTTGAATTGTAATTCCATAATAATAATCATGCAGAAATAATTCAGAAGATAGTATCTTGATAAAAATGTAAAAATGCGATGAATTTTATTTAGAAGAAATTGATTGCTTTCATAAATTAATAGCGCTCTATATTTAAATCATTGGAGATTTTGAATACATGTATAGTTAATTGAGAGAAAAGTACAGCATGTCCATAGATGTCTTACTTCATTATTATTTTAATTATTAATATTTCATTTTTCATGTTACTCGTTCTTGCTAATTATTCTCAATGACTAATTAGTTCATACGTTTTACACAAATTTCTTGTCAATTAAATTTACAAATGACCAATTTGTTAAAATTTTGATATAGCACTTGGAAATACATTTCAATCAAATATAATGTGCATTTCCGTTTCATAATTATATAAATTCAATCACTCGATATATCGATGCAGCAAAATAATATTGGCTACTACATCCAACACTATATAGAATCTAAATCCAAAATATAAATACAATATTCAAAAAATATTCTTTCAAAACTAACTAGTCGCGTTTATTAAACTATAATAATGAAAAATATAACATTTTACTAAATATTTTTAAATATGTTGTAACATTAACATTAAGTAGGAAATTATTATAATTCTCTAGTATGATAATATCGTGTTTTAATCATAATCCCCTTTAATACAAAATCAATTCTAATTTAAATTTGGTTTCTCATTTATCTGTATAATAACCGTTACGAAATTTACATAACCACACCCTACCTTACATTCCCTGCAATGATCTTTCACTTTCCCATAAAAATTTTCCGCTGTAAAAAATGACGAAATGAACATCAAAAAGTAACCCTATACTTGTATCATTTCTCTCAAATATATTCGATTCGAAAACATTTCGCTGAAAGCGAGGGTCAACCCATTTCGAAACTCAAAACTTGTCGTTCACACGGCAAGAATTACTGGCGTGTGCAGTCGTTGAAAGCGGGTTTCCGCGCCAGGAAGCAGCTGGTGCTTGCAAGAATACAGCAGTTTCCGGCGCTGGTAAACAAGCGAACGAATCGCTGGTACCACAGGTTAGGACGGCGGACCAACGAATCGATGTGTGTAGTTCTCGTGCACCGGCCATTCGACTCGACATCGAATATGCATTAAAACGAACCAACTCAGAGCGTACCAACGAAGTTGAACGTTTGAAAACCCGGCACGGAGTTCGATTAATAATTTCCTAGTTTTATTTCCTATTTGATCGAGTCGAGGCTTCTATTGACAACCAACCCCTTCGTTTACAAATGATCATATGATATTTTGATTATTCAATCGTTAATTACGCGGGCTGCAATCGTTCTTCAGTCACGAAGCACATAGAACGTAGAGTTACAAGTTCGATGACTGTGATTCGTGGTCTAGTGACTTTTTTTTTAACAGTTTGTTGGAAGGTTAAAAATTTATATTATTATAGACGTACAGAAATTGTTTTAAAACTAGGAAAAAAGTTAAGATGAAATTATTTTATAATAAATACATGATATTTTTGTCCTTTGCTATGTGTAAAATTGTAAATGAAGTTTATTTATTATAGAAATATATCCAGGGTAATTTAATGTACATTTTAGAGAACACCGATTTTATAGATCATATATGTAAATCTATTTATACACACACGATGCTTTCTGCACATAAATATCCCCACGTGTTATCGGAAGCACACCGAACCGGACATCGTTCTAGTCCAAAATTATGTGCCTTTGTCAAACGTTCTATGGCTCGCGTTGCACGTGAAAACGCAATCTAAATACGTCCATTAGATATTGGAACACGTACGCTGAAATAGGTTTCTAATTGTAATTGCTCACTGATTGCCACTACAAATTTAGAATTTATTGAACTATTTTCCAAATATAGCATTTTCAAATTTCCTGTAACGCGAGCAATTTTTTTTTTCATTACAATTATTCTGTTCAATTATAAAAATCGAAGCGAAGTCGAATTTCGAAATTCGACGAATCTCGAGGATAATTTCGGAACACACCTCGGGCGAAATTTACCCCCGAGATATTCCACTCACGTAATCTCCATGATACACGTAATACGTAATTGTATAATGGCGAACGAGTTTAGAGGCTGGCTCGTGAAAGTGCAATCATATCGGGCCGATCGGAATTTCGCGTATTAAAGTTACGTTTCTGCATCTAATTCGCCGTAATATTATGTAATGAATTAGAATGTAACGAGGCGTTGATCTGCAGCCAGGAAATCCTGTCTGCCTTTCTTGCTACCCACACCCACCGTCAATCAAGCCGCCTGTTTCTATTTTCCATGATTTGGCTTTCGATAGAATACTGATTGTTTATGCGTCATTCTCACGTAACGTGGAAATTTCTCCGAACTTTCTTCCGATTATTTTTTCAAAGTTGAAGCCAACAGAAAAGTCTAATGCAGCCTTGTTATGTTGTTTGGTTAGGAAGTAATTGCAGTGAGAACATATTATTCGATGTACAGTCACTTACAAAGGAATTCCAATACTTCCATTACTAAATTTTAACAAGCCAAATGTACACGCTGGACTTGAAATTTTTTAAAATAATATTGGGTCTGATATAACTTATAAGTGTCATTTAAAACATTTTCAGTGCAACAGAATCGTTTAGGAGGGTCGATAAAAGTATCGGAGTATCGCAAAAATTAAAAATAGTAAGTAGAAATTAATAGCAAAAACGGGCCAACACGAATAATTACACGTTCAAATATTTTTGTAAATTCCAGTACAACGTGTGTATTTCATTCGTAACAAATTCGAAACAACGATTTAATACATTTCTGTGATGTATGATGTAAATTAATGACAGAAAAAAATGTTATTTATAAATTGGAAATTGACCTTCAAGTATTATGTAAGTATTCATTTGTACAGAAACTGTATCACAATAGTGTTTGATCTTTCTTAAAGTCATATAACTTTTGTAGCTTATGTTAGTAATTAGTTATAGAAATGGTGATGCTTGAAGTAAGCAGAGGTACACTTTGTATTTACAGTCGAATAGTTTAAAGAGGTCTGATCACTTTCTGTAGTTTGCATAGTGACATAAAAACAATTGTAACTTGAAAACTGGGTCAAATTCAAGGACTAACTTTTGTAAGAACTTCTGTGTGCGGTGTTTATCACAAAAGTTATGCCCATAGTTTATAAATCATGGTATATAATCACTTAGAAATATGTAACTGTTATTCAGGACTGGAATATCCCTATTGTAATGCATTACCATATCAATATCAACTTAGATTTCAATATTCAATTACTTATTTATAATCACTACTATTAATATCACATTAGCATATTCTCTAAAAAGAAATAATGGGAAATTTTTCAGTAGCAAAGATTTAAGAATAATTTTTATTTTAAATAATTTAATAATTGCAGGGAAAATAGAGGACACCAGTTAAATACACAATGGAAATATTATCACATGTTTGGATTACTTCACTAAAATTACAAAGACTATGTTGCCTTTACTATAATCGTCTTCTTCAAATATCACTTCTATATTAAAGGAATTACATTAAGATTTAACTAAAAAATTCATGAATACAATCACTCCAAGTATCTCTTATCGAATGTAAACGAGCATCCCACGTTTAATTTCCTGTTGCACGATGGATCTTTTCATATATTTTACAAAAGAAATCCTCCCCGATCGCTCAATAACTCAATCCCTAATAACCTCCAACTAAACGTGAATAAGAGCGGCACGCAATATTCGTTCCCGGAAGTACGCGAACTAACATACGATGAACTAGACTCGTTCAAAAAGACTCCAGCTTGCTGGTTATATGTACCACGTCGACCTACTTCGAGGATACAAACCGGAGATCATGAACGGAACAAGGGAGAAACGGAACGCGGATGAAGGCGTGGAAGGAGCGAGAACAGAGGGAGCTTACTTTGCTGGCTGGCTTCCGAGCAAGCTTTTGAACACGACCGCTCAAAGCGCTCTTGAATATATGCAAGTGCTCTCGCAAAATTTATGTATCATACCCTCGACGAAGGAAAACTTCTCGGCCCGATGTTTGCCGAACGTATGTGCCGGCGAAAATAATATTTCGCCCGAACGATCGACGACGAAAATCATTGGACGACACGCGCGCCCTCGCGAATTGCGAAACACTTCGACTTGAAGCGTTTCTGTTTGTTCTCGTCGCGGAATAAAATGTCGTGAGAAAATATGTCTAGAGTCTAGACGATCAATATGTGGAACAAGTGATCAAACTTTAAAGTGGTTTGGTACTATTTTCATATTTTACATTTATATCTGTGCTGTCGTGATTGTACTGTAACAATAATAATAGAACTTTGGAAATAACCTTTTAAGGTTAGGTGTTTAAAAGTATGCATATTAGTTTGGACGAAAATAAAAAGTGTGATGAAAGATAGAATAAATTTTGTTATGTTTCAGTTGGTTTCGACTGAGATCAGATAAATGCTCTGATATTCTTCGATTAATTTGATCGAAAGGTGAACTATTTGCATTCCGATGTTTACATGTAGCGATAAAATACATGCAACAAAGGCAGTGTAAGTGCAATTAGAACTTTTACGATTTTAGAAATTATTACTGTATATAAATTAAAGAAATAGTGCATTTAAATGTTGTTCATAAAATAGAAATTCGAATTAGACATAATTTAATCCAATCGTCAATTACATGAAGCAACAAATATTAATTGTTTGTTGTTTACCAAACTTGCTAGTGTAAAATATGTAATATGATAAATATATCAAGTGCCAATTATTCTGAGACCAAGGTTATAGATTATTTTATTAATAGCGTCAAATAAGTTAATAAAGTTAATAAACTTAGGAAAGAAAAATCGCAGTGTAAGAAAGTACTTTAAAAACATTTCTAGATACTAATAGAGGTCAAATATTCCTATTTTTTAAATTCTTTGTAATATTTTTATTTCTTTAAAGGAAATAATAAATTATAAATCACTAAAATTATACTTTATGACGATTATCGTCACCTAATCTAAACCCCGAACTTTTTTTTTATTTTTAGATTTATAATGCAAGAAAAGGAAATATTCATTTATATTCTTCATAGAACATGTTCAAAGGAATTTTTTACGAAAAATTCCAATCGGATTATTTCGACTACTTTAAGAAAACACATTAATTAAAGCTGATAGATGCTGAAACGTCGACATCTGGTGAGCCGTACCATCAATTTCCAACACGCACGAACTAAGTGACAGACAAATTTGTCTTATTGTATCCTTCTGTGTCTTATCTTCGCACGATCTTCGGTTATTGCAAGTGAAACGCTACACTGCAATCTGAGGAGCTCGAGATGAGAGATTACATCGATGCTTGATGAACGTTGAGCGTTATTTCAAAGATTATTCACTATAAAATAAACGATAAATTTCTCCAAACACGAACCCAGCAGGTAAACAGCAGAAGAAATCACAACAGAGCTCGTCCCCGTTGCACTGATGGAAGTTTTTGCCATGAGAAGAACGGAAACGGAATAACGGAGCCTTGTGTTTTCTGTTTTTCAACGGTTGACGTTGGAAACATCACGGCGCGACAACAGATTCACGTGTAATGTGAGATGGCAAACAATTTGCCATAATCGACGACTAAGTTGTTCGGTTTGCGATTGGTAATTCATTGTTTATTCACTTCACTAAATTATTTAACCACAAAGTGTTCAGTACAGAATAAAAGAACAGGACTGAATAATTAGTAGCGCTGAATTGTTTGAAATTGACTAAAAATGGTATTTTTTTTTTTTTTTAATAATATCGTATAAATATTTGATTTCAATATATATCTCACCATAAAAATTAAATTACAGGTGTTAATGAATATTCTTCGTTAATCAGAAATGTCCAATATTTTGCCTCTTGCAAATGGATATATATTACCATATAAAGATTATTTCCACGATTTGGCTGTCATGCAAAGGAAGATTCAATTGGCTTGGTCATCATTTAACTAGGTATTCCATTATTCACATAATACAAAGGGACAGGAATAATAAATACCATGTGAGAAGAGAGGTACACGTCTGAAAATAACATCTCAATTATTGTGAAACATTCACTGCTTTTAGTACGAGTCACGAGCACTGCAATAAAGAATGCAAAAGGAGCAATTGCGTTAAGACGATCATGGTAACAAAAACATACAAGCACGCAGCTGTAGTGGACTAAAAAGACAAAACCTTGCAAAAAAGAGCCTGTTATGTTGGTAGTTTTATAAACTATAAATAACGTTTCTTTGCGCTGAAACAACTATCCGAACATCCTGTCTTCTACTATTTCATATAATCGACATTTTACTGTACCGTAGATAGTTGCATGCAACACAACGAAATTCCACGCTTCATCTACACAGAATGCCATAAAATTCCAAACAAAGTGCGGACACTCTTATGGTATTGCATAACGATCGTCTCTCCTGCAAATCAAGAGATATCGAAGATAAGTTTCTTCCACGAAGCGGCTGCAATCGATACATCTGGTCCTGACGACGAACCGCGCAACGTCTTATCTGCGCTCCTCGTTTTCTTGTCGACTTTCACGCGTATGGAAGGGAAGGGGTGATGGTCGTGGCCGGTATCGCGACCGTAAATCTTTTATAGTTGGCTGTATATTCCGTTCGTAATCATACAGTGCTTAGCATTTCACTCACCACAGGCCACGGTGTTATTCCGCGGAACAGAGGCACAATTTCTATTTCTGCTTATAAATTCTACTCGGCCGAACAAACTTTCTCCTCGCGGGAGTACCTCGAATTGATGGACGTTCTGTACGTGGCCGCGAACACCAGGGATATTTCACTGGGTAAAGCAGGGTGAGGACCCATTGGGATGAGGTGGCAATCCGCGAGAAACCTTGGCCGAAAAACTCATTAGGAACAGTTGTATAAACTGTTGAGAAAAATTGTTCGATTTCGATCTTTGTATAGAAGGTGTAAAGGATATTGATTTTATATCGACTTTGGACAAACAGCTTAGAGAGAACATCTGCGAATGTAATTAGTTTGTATTTTAAGAAATTGGTTTAGGTTAATTTAGTCGAATAGAGTAATTCATTTTCTTAACATTGGATTATAATTTAGTTTTTTTAAATTGTTGATATTAGTGCCTTTTGATAAATAAGTGCTCAAAGATAGTTTTTGAAGTCTGTAACTTTGGTCTTCTTATGACAATGTTGAGTAACATTTCAATTATATCAGTTATAATTTAGGCTTGAAATTTAGTCAAAATTTAGCAATATTAGTTTCAGACTAGCAATTATTATTGAAATTACTATTTGATACTTTGAATTAAATTTTTAGGCTTACAAAAATGCTGTTTATGTACATATCTCAACGCTTTCATTTGTCCATACCTCTGTATATAAATCAGACAAAGTCAAACAAAAATCTTCCTAGTTTCTAGAAAACAAGACCAATTCAAGTAAATCCTTTCATTCTAAAATATGCAGCGAGAATAATTACAAAAAATCAAAGGAATATAAAGCAGCATAGAATGCATGCAATCGAGGCGAACACTGGCGTCGTGTCGTACCTAATTTGCATACATGAAACGCTCTCTGCGATGAATCTGGTTATTCCAAGACGGAAACGAGCGCATTGGCAAAAAGTTTGGAACGCGGGAAAATTTATTCGTGCACGACCGTTTAAGGCGTCGTTAATACGGTACGCCTTAACGAATTCCCATGAAGAAGCGCCGAAAAACTTCGGTTCACCGTGGAGCAGTTGCTGTGTACGTCATTACGTGCGCGGCGTGGCGCACTCACTTCCGCCTTCGTCCCTGGAAATTACAGACCGTCCGGGCCGCGATAAATTACAATGTATCGGCGTGTGAACGTGCGAGTCCTGCGCGTTGTTCGATCGTTTAAGAATACACCCCTGATTAGCGGGATTGGTCGACTATTTCAGTCTTCAGCACAAGTTAATTAGTTTTATCAACTTTGTATTAACTGAATTTTCTTTGGTCACGGGAAAAGAAAAGTTATAATCGATTACGGTTTCTTGATTTAATTCAGAATTGAGGAACTAATAATTGGTATAAATATTTTGGTTGACATTTTGATTAACTTGAAAGAAAACTAATTTATACCAGTTTAAAATTAAATTATATTTTTATAAAATATAAATTTATTTTATAATCCTGTGATATCAACTGATTTCTCAAAATGCATAGCAAGATGCAATAATACATAAAAATACAAATACATGGTTCTACAATTTCTCGGTTATATGATGTTATAGGGAATTAATATTCCGTAATATATTTACGAATGGTTACAGTTTCTTCTTTTGAAATCCAAAAATTCCAAAAAATATAGATCTAAGATATATATCACTATTGAGTCACATAATTTATCGAGGATAAAAATAAATATTTAGCTCTTCCGTTGTTTAATTCTCCCGCCATTTGACAAAGCGAAAAGCGCTTATAGTTCTTTAGCTTCGGTTTCATTGTACGTATATATAGTTCGACGAAGTCTCACGAGAGTTGCCGAATACGCGCGAAGTATCCTATAGAAGTTCGTCGCCCAGTGAATATGTGTATGTTCCGGCGAAACATTAGTACGTCACGTGGTGGAGTCAAAATGCGTAGTTCAAGAATCCTTGTCTCAGAAATTTTGCGGAAGTTATGTTTCGAGTCGTGCACGTGGTGTTTCTCAGTGATCTCAAGGAAGAAGAAACGTTATTACGTTATGTTCGTCGAAGAAGTAACGTAATGTGGTAACAGACGAAAACGCGTTTGAGAGCTAGCCGTGATTGCCGTCGCGGGAGACAAGGACGAGTACCGTTCGATCGTACACGCGTTACGGGCGTCATAAAATCGCATCGGTGGCCGTATAGTTGCCGGATCAGGCCCCGTTTCCAGACGCTACAATCAACTACACTCTCCTCCCCCGGTTTCAGTCTTGCTGTTCCATTTTGCTCACCGCAGCTCGCCTATCCTTCCCATCGTCGCTGCTTCTCGTCGCCATCTTTCTTCCATCGGTGTCTCCGTCTCTTTCTAACTCCTGCCCACGTAACGACGTCTTCTGGCAGGGGTTTCACGAGAGTCCAACGGTATATATAATGTTGTGGACTACTCCTATACGGTTCCCTGTGCTCTCCCTTTGCGGACGGCCCCGTTTCGCCTTTTTCTTCTTCCTTTTTCTTTTCGTCCCTCTCGCCCCGCTCTTCATCGCTGCTCTTCTCCCTGGCCGTGGTGTTCTGTAACGGTGACGCAGGCTTTCCGTTACACGAACCACCGTGTGGCTGTGCCTCATGCCAGCAGGAGCAGCCTTTTCCCTTCCTCGGTGGCGTTCCCGGTCGTCGTTGCATTATGGATGCAACGGGTCGGCCATGGACGAATGGAGGAAGCCGCCGTGGTCGAACGTGTCTCTCTCACCACCATCATGGAACCACGACCTCCCTTCTTCCTATCCTTCCACCGTTCTCCCGTTCTTTTCCTTCTTTACTCCATACTTTCTTCTATCTCTTTCTCTGTCTGTCTCACTTTCGCTGCTTCTCCCTTACGCGCTGTTTCCCTTCGTCTGTCTCTATCCTATCGACGATCGTCGTTCATCGTATTTGGCTAGAACCGTCGCACTTTTTCGCAGTTTTTTCTTCCGAGTCTGGCTACGCGTGACCGTTTCCATCGAGAAGCGATGCCGTTACGTCCACGCACTCTATCCTCGTTTTTTGGTCGTTAGAAAGAAGGAAGGCTCCAGTGAGCCGTGATCTCGTTCGTTGCGCTCAAATCGGAGATGTTCGCGTGGAAACCCGACGTTAGGAAGTATGTTTACGAGCGGTGGGGTGATTCGTTGGGGAATGTGGTGAACCGATGATTGGAGACGGGTGTTTCTTTCTGTATCGCGTTATGTTTTCAAGATGGAATAGAACGAGACTGTGAAATGGAGAAGGTAAAATGATTTTGCCCAGTTTGAAAGCAATTGTAATGTCAAGATACGAAGTTAATGCGACAAGATTTACCGCGTTCCGTTCGACCACTTACAGTCTGTGTCGTTAAACGTTAACGTTGAACTCGCCTTAATGCTATTTTGAATAATGGGTAAGCAATGGCTACATACTGTTTACGTTTAATTTATAGTATTGTACGACACATGCCGTAACGTGTTTTTCTACTTCATTTATGGATTATAATGTAAATGACGTTAGAAAATATTTTTCGTGTAATAAAATTTTTGATTTTAGAAATATTTAAAACAATTTTTAATTTTCATTATATCTAGGGAAATTGCATGCATCGACTGGTTATTTTTTTAGGGGAATGTCTCAGAAGTAATCGCGAGGTTGGTCTAGTGTTATAGTTATTTTTCTGAAAAATGAAATATCGCGTGACTAAATGTTACTCTGTCAGTTTTTTTTTATTAATGAATTCATAAGTTCGAAGCAATTATAATCTTTTTTTTATTGGAGCGTTCAAATTACAAAATCTTGCAAAGTATTACCGTAAATCTTTCAGAACTACGTGTGTTTTCATATGGGTTCCTTGTTTCCACGAAGGAATAGAGATAGCTTCAATGTTTACCAAGTTGTGTGGATGGCGATCACGTTACATAACCTAGCTGTCTGTTTTGTTTTCCAGAACAACACTACGCGGCTGCCGATTCGAACAGTTCGACGCCCGCGAAGAGCTTCGTGGCCTGTAGAGTTTGCGGTGACAAAGCGAGTGGTTACCATTACGGTGTAACGAGCTGCGAGGGTTGCAAAGTGAGTATGTCAATCTATGCCATTTAAATCGTTTTTTGATCTTCTTAAAAATTTGGGAATTCGAAAATTTGGAAATTTGGAGGCTTTAGAATTACAAAATTTGAAAACTGGAATTTAGAGATTCCAATTCTTTGAGATTTAACAATTGAGAAATATAAAAGTCAAGAAGTTTGGAAATTGAGAAATATAAAAATTTGTCAATTCTATCAAATTTCGATATTAATCTCGAATTCCCTAAATAAATTAATAAAAATATTTGTATAGTCAATTATACTATAGACTAAATTAAAATTCCGTTTTGCAAATATTATAATTGTGAATATAATTCCATGGTATTGAAAATATATTAAAAAATTGATCAAACGAACATAACTATCCTATGACGACCATACGTGCCGCGTCAGAGCTGATGAGACACGTGAAATGCTTTCCAAAGAACTACAGAACTTTCTACACCGAGAAACGTAATTATATACCGTAAACTTTTCTTCATCTCGAAGTACAATTCGTGTGAGATCCTCTTCGGACGCATCGCTTCCTGCGAGAAAGTTACCACCGCTATAAATACAATTTTTCTTCTCATCGAGCTCGTGCAATACTGGTACCGACTACTTTCATCTCTTTCACCCTCCCGACTCCCTATCTCTCCCTCTCTCTCCGACTTCCGCTGTCTCTGCTAAACTTTCCTCTCCCAATTTCCTTTCTTTCGCATTTCTTTCTTATTTTGTCCTCTTATTTTTACTGCTTTCGATATCAGCGTACCCCTTTTCTTTCAATTTTCGATTCCCTCGATAGTTTTATACCTCCTACTATGCCTCGCACGCAAGGAGTCCCCCTGTTTCGTCACAGGGGCAAGTATTCCACTCGCTCCGTGGTCCCCACTTTTCTATGATACTACCAGGACCACTATCAGCGGACTCCTTGTCTGCGACGCACAGTACGCGAGTGCGCGAAGAGACCAGGGCCGGCTTCACAGTTTTTGTTACCCGCTGACTTTCAAATCTCCATTTTTATTCGTCATTCTTCGTCCCTTTTCCTCTATTTTCTTATATTCTATTTCTTCTATCTTTCTCAACATTTTGCCTCTGGTCGATCAGTTCGCTTTCACAATCAATCCCTTCACACGATTTTCTTAT